AAGAGGGAACGTCCTTGCTTTGTTCCTGATCTAAAGGGGAAAGTGTCTAGCTTTTAACCATTGAGTATTTTGCTAGCTGACCCTATAGGACAGAGTAGAACTGCCCATAGGGTTTCCAAGGAGCAGCTGGTGGACTGAAACTGTGACCTTTTGGTTTGCAGCTGAACTCTTAACCACTGTGCCACCAGGGCTCCAAGTTTTTTGTAGATGATCTTTATCAAGGTGAGTAAGTTCCATCTATTTCTATTTTTCTGAGAATGTTTACCATGAATGGATTTTGAATTTTATCACTTTCTTATTGTGCTTCAATGATATGATTGTGTGATTTTTTTTTATTAGTCAGTTGATGTAGGGTGTTGCATTAATTGATTTTCAAATTCCATATAGTCTTCCATACCTGGAATAAATCCCGCTTGTTCGTGTTGTATAATTGTTTTTTACATTGTTGGATTGGATTTGCTAATATTTGGTTGAGAATTTTAGCATCTATGTTTATGAGAGATATTGGTTTGTATCTTTCCTTCGTTCTAATATCTGTATCTGGTTTTGGTATTAGGGTAATGATGACTTCACAGGATGAGTTAGGAAATGTTCCCTCTGCTCTTATTTTCCAAAAGACATTGTGGGGAACTGGTATCATTTCTTCCTTAAAAGTTGGCAGAATTCACTAGCACTTCACTAATATATTAGTTACTATTTTTTATGCCAAATCACCTCCTAAACTCAATGGATTTTGAAAAATTAATTGAAAGTCTTTTGTTTGAATCTTTGCTAATTTTTCTATGTGTATATTTCAATTATTTGCTGAAGTATATTGTAAGTTATCTTTATAGAGTGATTATAGTACTCCTTTTGAGTCATAACGATGGAAAATATTTATCTAGTTGAGTAATTCCGCTATTATTATTTTTCTGGATATTGTGGGGACTAGCACTACGGACTGTAAGTCTGCCAGCACCCAAGGAAGTTGCTTCTATCCTACCCTCTCTGAATTCTGTGTGGCTTTTAATCCTCTTTCCTCTCTTTGGAGCCCTGGTGGCACAGTGGTTAAGAGCTCAGCTGCTAACCAAAAGGTCAGCAGCTCGAATGCACCAGCCTCTCCTTGGAAACCCTACGGGGTAGTTTTATTTTCTCCTATGGGGTCGCTTTGAGTCGGAATCGACTGGGCAGCAACAGGTTTGTTTTTTAGCTTTTTCTCCCTTTATTCTTTTCTTTCTCAAAGATTGACCTTCTCGGCTTCTCTATGCACATGGCAGAAGTTCAACACACAAACTCCTTGCCCCAGTACTGAGTGGTCCTTGAGATCCTCACAGCCATCTGTGCCCCATTAAAACCCATTGCTGTGGAGCTGATCCTGACTTGTAGTGAAGACCTTACAAACCCAAAACCAAACCTGTTGCCATTGAGTCCATTCCAACTCATAGTGACCCTACAGGACAGAGTAGAATTGCCCCATGGGGTTTCCAAGGAGTGCCTGATGAATTCAAACTACTAACGTTTTGGTTAGCGCCCATAGCTCTTAACCACTACTCCACCAGGGTTTCTAGTCTCAGGAATATGAGTACACAGTACACCATCAAGGCTGCCTGGGAGAGTGTAGGGGAAGTTATCAGCGAACTTGACACAGGTTGAGCAGATATCTCAAGCTGTCTTCTACAATCCAAAAATGCAGATATTATACCAAAAGGACAGAAAGTGTCTTTTATGGAAGGATGAATTATGTATCATTTATATAATTATATTAGTATATACAAATAATAGAATTTAGTATTATAGGTAAGATAGTATAATATGTGGAACCCTAGGGGTGCAGTGGTCAAGAAATTGGCTGCTAACCAAAAGGTCAGCTGTCTGAATACACCAGCCGCTCCTTGGAAACCCTATGGGGGATTTCTACTCTGTCCTATAGACTTGCTATGAGTGAGAATCCACTCGATTGCAATGGGTTTGGTTTGATTTTGGTTATAGCCCAGCACAGCCCAGCACAGCACAGCACAGCACAGCACTGCACAGCATAGCATAGCATAGCATATACTATATGTTATATAGTATAATACATTATAATATGCTATAACATGTTGTAACATGCTACAACACAATATAATATAATGCATTTAACATAACAACATAATAATATAGACATATACATACGAAGAATAACAAATGAACTGTAGAATTCAGTGTCATGGAGTCCTGTATAGTATTAGGATAATCTCCTGTTTCTTCTCTATTCTTAACTACAACCTCAATCCAGCTTCCTTTTTCCACTTCACTTATACCATCCTCCTTGCTGTTGCCAGATGGAATGCTCGAGGATTTTGCCCTGCCTGTATCTCTGCCCAAAATGCTCTTCTCACAGTTTTCTGCTTGGCTAGCATCCTTCCCTCTTCAGATTTTCTGCTCAAAGGCCCCTTCTCAGAGGTGATTATACAAAGGAGCATTTCTTTTTCACTCTATAACTTACTTATCCTGCATTATTTTACTTCATAATGGTAATCCCTACAAATCATTTACAGATTTAGTAACAGTCTGCTGACCCCTACCCCCAACACACATATCCTGGAATAACATTTAGGGCAAAGATTGTTAAAATTAAGTTTTACTTCTGTTTCCCGTGTCTTCAACAACACTTGGCAAAAAAGAGTTGGTCAAAAATATTTGTTGAATGAACTAAACAAACTCTTGGGGAATTTCTAGAGACAAATGCCGCTTTGGGAAAAAGTTTGGGATTAGAGGCAAGGATGTCTAGTTGGTTTTAGCATCAACAAGAAGGTAGAACATTTGGGATTCCATGAAATTTTCAGCTCTAGGGCACTAGATCTATAGATAATATATGGAATTAATTAATTAAACATGTTTAAAATCTAAACAACAGCATATCTGTTAAGTAGTTGTTAACTGCTTATGGCTAAGGTTGCGTTGCTCTTTTCTCTTTTCCAGTAGTTTCATCGGTTACATGGAACCAGGAAACCAAACACGTGTTTCAGAATTCATCCTTTTAGGGCTCTCAGAGGAGACGGAGATGCAGCCCCTCCTCTTTGGGCTATTTCTGTCCATGTACCTGGTCACTTTCATTGGGAACCTGCTCATCATTCTGGCCATTATCATTGACTCCCACCTCCACACACCCATGTACTTCTTCCTCTCCAACCTCTCCTTTGCAGACATCTGTTTTATTTCCTCCACAGTCCCAAAGATGCTGCTGAACATCCAGATGCAGAACAAGGTTATCACCTATGAGGGCTGCATCACCCAGATGTATTTTTTCATGCTGTTTGGAGGATTCGACAACTTCCTCTTGGCAGTGATGGCGTATGACCGGTTTGTGGCTATCTGTCACCCCCTGCACTACACGGTCATCATGAACCCCAAGTTCTGTGGCCTCCTGCTTCTGATATCCTGGTTATTGACTGTTATGTACTCTCTATTACATAGCTTAATGATTTTACGACTGTCTTTTTGTACAGAGTTGGAAATCCCCCACTTTTTCTGTGAACTTAATCAGGTAGTCCAGCTTGCTTGTTCTGACATCTTCCTCAATGACTTAGCGATGTATCTTACAGCTGGGCTTGTGGGTGTTATTCCACTCACTGTGATCCTTTTCTCTTACACGAAGATTGTGTTCTCCATTATGAGAATTTCATCTACTGGGGGCAAGTATAAAGCTTTTACCACTTGTGGGTCTCACCTCTCAGTTGTCTCCTTGTTCTATGGTACAGGCCTTGGAGTATATCTCAGTTCTGCTGCTACCCAAAACTCCATGGCCAGTACAATGGCCTCAGTGATGTACACTGTGGCCACACCCATGTTAAACCCCTTTATATACAGTCTTAGAAACAAGGACATAAAGCAGGCTCTAAAAAAAGTTTTCAGCTGAGAAACAGCTCTACATAACAGAATCATTTTTCTTAAGATTAGAGTGTTGCTCATGAACAGAGCTCCAAATCATGAAGACCTAAATCATGATACTTTCATTGCTTCATAAATCTGCATTATTTCCAGAATTCAATCTCCTTGATTTTTATACATTATAAACTATTGTTTCTTTTTTATTTCTTTCAAAAACTCTGTTTTTAAGCCAAGTCTTCCCTTCAATAGGCAATTCATTCAGGGTGACTGAAGATGATTCATTATGAAACAGATCTTTCACTGTTAGCCATGTAGTACCAGGAAAGTATGATCCCACGGGAACAGCATCATCATTGTCCTCAAACCCAACAAGTTGAGATATCAATTTCTAGATTCCTATTCTGGAAAGTCTGTTTCTTGCAATCATTTCTGGTATGAAATATTCGACCTCTATGGGTTATCTTCTTTAAACAGAAGTCTCATTGAGTATTTTGAGCAGAAACTCTGTGCATATGTAATTATTAAATTATGGAAAAGACTGGTGGTATGTCCTTCAAGTATTGGGAATGATTCCTAGAACAACACTGAAAACCAGACCAGCTAAGAATGTTGATACCTCTTCTAACATCAGGAAGGTGGTGGAATCAAGAAGTCTCCACAAAAATTGTTGGCTCCACAAACCCAATGCTTTTTTTCAATCCAGATAGTAGAATTTGTTATAATTGTTAGCTCAAGACTCACTGTGCCTGCTAGATCTGCACTTGTTTAACAAAAGGTGTGCACATTACTTCTTGACACCCATGATGTTACTGACATGGAAATTTGCCTTCATTTATTCCAAATAACCCAATGCTCTCCAACTATGCTTGGCCACATAATTGGCTGATACAAGGTATCTGCCTCACTTTTGCCCTCTGATTCTCTCCTGTACAGCTGGTTAATATCCCAGTAATCACATGTGAAACTCTAGGTTTTAGTGATCCTGGGAAATATAGTTTTCCAATTACCATCCTCTGCAATACAGGAACACAAACCAAAGGAAGGTGGAATGGTTGCTGAGTGCCAGCCACTCTATCCCTACATTGATAAGATGTAGACCCAATAGTGGATGTCAAATTTCCTATGCTTATTATGTATTTTAGGATAAGATGATTGTCTCTTTCAAAGTTCCCTAAGACATTATCCTGTTTCCATTCTAATATATACAGCTAGTTCATAGCTTCTTTAGAAAGGATGATTTGTAGAGCATGAAGTAAGTGAATGATAGAGACTATTATAACTCTGCCATATGTTCTTAGGTCTTTCCTTTTTTTTACAAATTATATTGTGATAAAATACATATAAAATAAAATTAGCCATTGTAACCATTTTTAAGTGTACAACTTAGTAGCATAAATTACATTGACAATGTTGTGTAACCATCACCACTATCTATTTCCAAAACTTTTTCACCACCAAAACCTCAAATTCTGTACCAATTATGCAATAATGAATCTCCATTCATTCCTCACCTCTCCATCCTCAGTTCCACTGTGGCATTTCCTTCTTCAAGTCTCTGTGGCTTTGATAGCAGCAACAATGGCACAATGGTGACCTTTCCATAGGGCGAGCTTGATCATAGACGTCCCCTCTATAAACAATTCATTGACTCCTCACTAATTTTGGAATTAATTATCAATCCTGTAGCTAAAATAGAAGTCTCTCTGTTATCCAGCTAGCTTGCTTGGACAAGTTTATTTTTCACTTTTCATCACCTGATCCTCAATGTTGATCAGATATTGAGAACTATTTGTAACTTCCTAAGCACATCTTGTTGTCATTTTTAAGTGTCATCAATTTGATTTCTACTTGAAGTGACCCCATGTGACAGTGTAAAACTGCTCCATAGGGTTTTCTAGGCTATAATCTTTACTGGAGCAGATCTCCAGGTCTTTCTCCAGCAGAGTGGCTAGGTAAGTTTGAACTGCCAACCTTCAGGTTAGCAGCTGAGCTCTTAAGGATCGTGCTGCCAGGGCATCTTAGAGTTTCATTAATTGCACATTTTCTTCTCTGATGCCCACTCCTGGAGTTCTATCAACTCTTATGCATTTGTAAAAACTCCATCTCCATCTGTAAGGCTCAGTACAATTATCAGCTTCTCTAAGAAGCCATCATTAGTCTCCCAGGAAGAGTGGGCTACTTTTTGATTCCAATTCACCATGATTTCTGTGCCCCCTTCAGTGTTTTTCATTTATTTATTTCCATGTCTTCCCCTGTTTAGACTGTGAGAGAAGGAACAATATCTTAGAAATTTATTTATTTCTAGAAAATAATTTAGTATCTACCATACAGTAACCGCTAAATAAACATTTACCAAGTGACTAAAAGAATACATGGTAGAGTAATGTTAAACATGTACAACAATGAGAGAGAAAGGAGAAGCAGTGAGACAAGGGGAAATGCTGCTGAGAAAGGGGAGTCCCAAGATTGAGATTCAACACTGAAAGTCTGATAATAAATATGCTTTAATGTACACAGAATCTTGCTCCAGAATCAGGGATGAGGTAATCATTATGAGGCACCCTGCAGTTATAGAGACCCCATCTAAAGACAGGTGTCCTCCTCCTGAGAGAAAGGAGACCAATGGGATAAAAGATGTACACGGAGCTTCACACCTCTAACCCAAGGATCAAAACTGGCACAAGTTTACATTCTGTCTTTCTCTCCTATTTCCATAGAATTAAATTTCTCAGTGATTAGAGAGACAAAAGAATATTAATGAGGTTCATGAGAATTCAGCTGCTAAAGCCATAGGAACTAAATGCCTCCCCTATACCCTTTCAAATATACTTTATTTATCTCAGGTGATGAGAAAACAATTGTGTCTTCCAGAGACCTCATGAATGGTTCCATCTCCCAGCTCTTCTTGGACATAGAGCTCTCAACTTCATCAATCATCCAAGGAAGAAACAACATCGGTGAACTCCAACTCATCCCTGATAATATCTGGGTGAGCTACAGCATCTTCCGAGATGCTGGGTAATGTGATAAAAGGAACCCCTTTTATTGTTAGTAATTTTAGGAGCGTCAACAAGGAAAACAAGCTAAATAAAGTTTAATGATACAAAGTCTCACCAAGCTAAAGTCTCTGATTCTGGATGGTGAGTCTGTATACAATAAATATCTTCTCTCTCTGATCTGTCTCCTTTGGTGTTGGCTCTCAATGATGGGGCTTCCCTTTCTCAAGAGAATTTCTTCTGTCTCACTGCTTCTCCTTTCTTCCCTACTGTTGGAAATATCTGCTTAATCTCTTTCAACCATTTGTTCTTTCAGTCCTTCAACAAATATTTATTCAGTAACCGCTGTATAAAACCCATTGCCATTGATTCGATTCTGACACATAGTGACTGTGATGGTTAAGATTGTGTCAACTTGGCTGGGCCATGATTCTCAGTGTTTTGGCAGTAGTCTAATGTTGTGATCACTTCCCTGTTGAGATCTGATATGTGATCACCTCCATGATGGGATCTGCTGTGAGTAGCCAGTCAGTTGAAAGGGAGGTTCCTTGGGCATGTGGCCTGCATTGAATATAAGGTGATATTCTGTCAAGGCTCAGGGGCTTTTTGCTCCTGCTAGATACTGTAGCTGGCTCTTGTTTGTCTGAATTCCTGTTCTTGGGATTTGAGCTAGCAGCTTACCTGTGGTCTTGCCTGCCAATCTTGGGATTCATTGATCTTTGCAACCTCTGGGCAAGAGCTCTGCTCTCTGACCAGCTGTTCTTGGGTTCACCAGCCCCTGAAGCTTGTTGAATCAGAAGAAGCCTCTATCCTGTCCCTGGGCTTGGGACATCCAGCTACTGCAACTGCTTGAGCCATTTCCTTGATATAAATCTTTTTCTATATATTTATACACTTCACTGGTTTTGCTTCTCTAGAGAACCCAGCCTAAGACAGTGATCCTGTAGGATAGAGTAGAACTGCCTCACAGGGTTTCCAAGGGGCAGCTTATGGATTTGAACTGCCAACCTTTTGGTTAACAGCCAAATGCTTATCCACTGCGCCACCAGAGCTCACTGTATGGTAGACATTAAATTATAAAGAAATAAGTAAAACATAGTTCTTCTCTTGAGGGGCTTAGAGTCCAAACAGGGCAAGAGATATAGAAATAAATGCAATATCCTGAAGTTGCACTGTGATCCTGGTGAAATGGATCACAAAATATTTGACTCTACCTGTGGGACATAGAGCATCTTATAATTTTATTGAGCTTTGAAGGAGGAGTTGGAGTTCTTCCAGGTGGAGCAGTAAGAACACTTCAGGATGTGACAGCAGGGGAGTAAATATGGGGATTAATTAACTGTAAGATGTGTGTAGGAATTCCAAATAGAATCTAATATCTTAAGAAAAATTAAGGCAGGTGATAAAAAGTGAAACATGAACTGACTAGGTAGACAGTAGCCTTATAATGAAGAGTCTTATATTTATAGAAAAATTGTGAAGACAGTACATTGAATTCCCATGAACCTCAGATACAGTTTCCTGTTATTAACGTCTCCCATCCAGAATACCACATTACATTTAGTGATCATTTTTTTCTGAGGCTCCTTTTGGCTGTGACAGTTTCTCACATTCTCCTTGTTTTGATGACCTTGATCATTTTGAGGAGAACTGGTCAGGTCAGGTATTTTCTAAAATGTCCCTCCATTGGGATTTGTCTGATTGTTTTCTCATTATTATATTAGGGTTACAGAGTTTTGGGAGGAAGGTCACAGAAGTAAAGTGCCATTTTCATTACATAGTATCAAGAGTACATATTATCAACATGACTTATCACTGTTAATGTTGATTTTGAACATCTGGCTGAGATAGCATTTTTCAGGTTTCTCTACTGTAAAGTTACTCTTTATTACTCCGTTTCCATACTGTACAGTTGCTATGTACAGTCCACACTTTAGGAGTGGGAAGTTATTCTCCATCTCTGTGAGAGTGGAATAACTATATAAATTATTGGAATTTTTCTGCACTGGATATTTGTCTTTTATTTATTTAA